ATCCTGCCATGCAAATTTTATCAAGGCAGGATCTGACCCTGCTGTCAACTCACTGTTAAACCTTTATCTCTCTTTTCAGTTGAAGCAAAATTGCTAACCAAGCTGCTGTCTGCTCATCTTAAAACTCCTACTGTTAAAAGTCATGCATGACCTGGAAGAAATGCCAGCGTGCTGCAGATCAAGCCTCTCTCCTGCAGACAGACATTTCTCCCAGCACACTGTAACAATATACTGTATATATACTGTAACAATCTTGTAATCCCACACTTGTTATAAGTATGGTCTCAGGTTCTAATTGTAAAAGCCCCCAAGGCATATGTTGACACACCAATACGCTTGAATCATGCAGACCAGCTCAGGAGGACCATGTCTTTAAAATTTGGAGGCAGAAGCATGTTGGTGAAGCCAATGAAGCCCATACATGTGGCCTTAGATCAGAGGTGGGCAACTCCAGGCCTCGAGGGCCAGTGTCCTGCAGGTTTTAGATCTCACCCTGGGTCAAGACACCTGAATCAAATTAAGAGTATTTTCAGGCCTCTGGAGAACTTCAAGACATGTTGAGGAGGTCATTTAGCCTTTAAATCAGCTGTGTTGGATCAAGGACACATCTAAAACCTGCAGGACACCGGCCCTCGAGGCCTGGAGTTGCCCACCCCTGATAGTCTCCATTTTCCAAAGAAGCCACATTTCGACTTCAGCATCCTGCAAAATAAATTTGTGTTCATCATCAGAATCATTTTGGGCAACTTGTCAAGTACAGCTGGGTATTGAGGCCACTGACACAGTGTGTAGGAAAAAATGTTTTTTTAATATAGCACCAAATCACAACAGTTACCTCAGAGTGCTTTATATTGTAAGGTAAAGATCCTAACTAATACTGTGAAAATTGAAAAAAAACCCAATTAGATGAGCCCCTATTAGCAAGTGGCAACAGTGGGAAGGAAAAACGACCTTTTAATGAGCAGAAACCTTTGGCAGAACCAGGCTCAGGGAGGGGCGGGGCCATCTGCTGGGATTGTTTGGGGGTGAGGGGAGGAAGACAAAGACACGGTGAAAGAGAGCTAGAGATAAATAATAAATAATGATTTAATGGAGAATGGTGTATAAACACATGGTGGGTGAAAAGAAGCCCCCAGCAGTGTAGGAATATTGCAGCATAACTAAGGGAGGATTCAGGGTCATGTGATCCAGCCCTAACTATATGCTTTAGCAAAAAGCCTAATCTTAAGTACAGAGGGTGCCTTTCTCCTGAACCCAAACTGGAATATGGCTCCATAGAGGAGGGGCCTGAAAACTGAAGGCTCTGCCTCCCATTCAGTCTGAGAGCGAAGTGCTTTATTGGAGTGATACGGTATTATGAGGTCTTTAACATGAGATGGGGCGTGATTATTCAAGACGTTGTATGTGAAGAGAAGAAATTTGAACTTGATTTGGGATTTAACAGGAAGACGGTGAATATAGGTGAAATCTGCTCTCTCTTTCTAGTCCCTGTCAATAGTTTTCAGGACATCCTGATAACAGTGAATTACAATAGTCCAACCTAGAAATAAGAAATGTGTGAACTAGTTTTTCACTGTGAGACAGGATATTTCTAATTTTAGAGATATTGTGGAAATTGGAAGAAGTAGTCTTACATATTTGTTTAATATGCACATCGAAGGACAGTGGAGGCCAAGGTAGTGCCATCCAGAGTAAGCATCTGGTATCAGAATCACATACAGATATCTTCTGTTTGCACACTCTTTACCCATAAAAAAGCAGGAAGTTAAGTCCTTTTATTACACTCTTGGATGAAGCTGAGCTGAGATGAGCTGGGGGATCTCAATTGCTTTAGCACACATCAATAAACTTAGTGTAAGTGACCTGCCACAACATGGAGAATCAC